GCAAGAACTTATATCGCAACAGAAACAAAATAGACTCAAAAGATCTAAAGAGTTGCTTCGCTTGACCGAAAGTGGTGAACTGCAGAATTTGGTTTTCTCCAAAGAGAAAACATTTGTTGTCCAGCAGTTTGTAAACAAACAAAGTGATCGTGTTTACTTGTCAAAGAAGTCAGCTGAAAATTTGCACCTTCGGGCGGGCCATGGTGATGGTGTGGGCCGCCATATCAGCCGATGGTCGCTCTCCACTCGTATTAATCGACCGTGGCATCAGAATTAATGCCGAATATTATCGCGAAAATATTCTGGAGGGTGTATTAAAGCCTTGGGCATGCAAACATTTTGGCCGCAGACCTAAGACATTCCAACAGGACTCAGCACCATCGTACTCACCACGCGCCACCCATGAATGGTTACAAAATGAGGTTCCTCGCTTCATTTCCAGCGCACAATGGCCACCAAAATCTCCGGATACCAACCTGTTGGACTATTATGTCTGTAGTATTTTGAAAAGCAAGGTTGGCACTAAAAAATACCAAAGTGTTGATCACCTCAAGCAAGCGCTTCGGCGGGAATGGGCCAAAATACCGCAGAGGAACATTCAGGCAGCGTGTGCCGGTTTCTTTGGCCGTTTGAAGGCCATAATTCGTGTCAAAGGTGACCAATTCTAACAAATCTGAACTTATTCTAAAATTTGATGCTATTTCCGACATTTTTTGCTTTCATTAAATAAAATTTGAAAAAAGGTAAAAATTATGACTTTTGACTTTGTTGTATTTCTTTTTATCTCACCCTGTATATCCTTAATCCGATTTAAGGTTTATTGTGAAAATGATGGCTAATATCTGGCCAGAGTTTGTCAATCTAAAAAACCTGCATTTTTAGCATTTGTAGTCTGATCTTTCATTCCTCTAACCCATATGATTCGTTTATTTAGAATTATTTAAGATGTAAAATCACACTATTGGCGAAGTCGTCGGCCAAGTTTTTTTTTTTATTTAAATTGAGAATAAAGACTTTTCGTGGAATTTCAATACACTTTTAATAAATTTATTAAAATTAAAAGAATTTAAATTAAATTAAAAATTGATTTTTATAGCAAATCTTTTTTAAAAATATTTATGGAGATTTTTAATAAAAAAATAAATATTTTAATAATCAAAACTTTCAATTAATTTTAGTATATTGAACTTCATTCAATTGCAGTTTATTTTAATTTACTTTATTCTCTTTTTGGTTTCACTTTAAAATTGTTGTGTTCCATTGCAAAACACAGGAATCTATTTTTTCTCTGTAATGTATTTGAAATTTGTTAATAAAACTATTTTGGAAGTATCATCATCCTCGTTCTTAACATCATCATCATCATTATCGTTTGCATGATTATAATCAAGGACAACGATATCGTAGAACATAGAACAGAAATTGACAGAGTGAAAGACAGACAGAGAGACAACATTGTTTGAAGTACCACTACACCACACAATACTTGATTCATTTTCTATGATACACATACACATACATGCTAACATCGATTTCAGGGTAATAAATTTTAGGTACAGTGAACGAAATTTAAATGGGGACACAATACAATAATATTTTATTTTAACTCAACTCCAATCAGTTGTCATGAAAAATCCATCAACTGTAACCTTTTTCGATTGAAAAGTTGTCAAAATATTATTTGTTATTGAAACAATAACCAAACAAACAAATGAAGTTTTTGAAAAATACACAATGAGTCAAGTTTTTAAAAAGCTACAGAATTGGGCATTCTCAAAACGTTAAAACACCTTTATAAATAAATTTTAAAATACAGTCTTTAATTAAAAAGAAAAAAAATTTTAGTATGGGTTATAGAATTGACCTTAAAAGTGATTGTGGGCCTATGACCGGTTCGGGAGACATATGACAAATTTTTCAATTTTATTTAAAAAAATTAAAATTTTGAAAACCACACTTTCTTTTCGCATGCTTTTCTTTCACAATATTCATTGAAGACCCCATAAATCATGTATATTTTTGATTAGCGTGATATTTTAAGTAGAATTACCGATGTCCCTCCATATAACAACTCAGAGTAATTTTCGGCCCTAAATGTTGGATAAATCGGCATAAAATTTTACGTTGATCATAAATATATATTTTATGGGGCCTACAAAAACCCAAACCGGCTGACCATCAACAACATGGTGTCTTTGTGGGTAGGGTCCTTGAAATGGATAACAATTTTCCAAAACTTTATTAAATTTTGAGAGGAGATAATCTATCTACGAAGTACCCAAATTATCAAATTAGCTTATTTGGTTGGAATTTGAGGCAAATCCCTTCAAAATTCCGAAAATCAGTGGGTGTCGCTGTGTGTTGCTATATCTAAACGAGGATCAATTTATTACATTTTCAATACCAAATGGATGAAAATTATCCGAAATTTCATCGGATAAAATCATCTCGACCGATGAGGTCCATTTCCACCTCGAAGGCTACATCAACCAACAAAATTGTAACATATGGGGCTAGAAAACCCAAAGGTTATTGTTGATATGCCTCTCCATTCTCAAGGTGAGATGGTTTATGGTTCGGTGCGGACATATGCCTTAAATATTGAATTCGTTAAGTTATCAAGTTATACGCACACCACAACAATGATATTTTTACCTGATATCAGATACAGCTCAGAAATACCTCTATATATCTTTACCCGATTTCAATAATATTCTGCACCAAATGTGTAATGTCAGCTAAAATTTACTGGATTTTGGCATATTCGACCGAAGTCAGCCTAGAAGTAAGTATGTCAAATATGGTGAAAATCGGTAGCGAAATATTCAAACACACGTTTCATCAGAATTGGTGTTTAAGTCCCTCACGTTCGCAATATCCCTCACATTCGCAATAAACTCTAAAACCACGATATTTGGTAGAATCATATAGCTCAAAAATACTTTCAGATTTGGATATAGTTAATATATATATCTTTATCCGATTTAGGATTTTTGTACACCAAATGGTTAATATTATCCCAAATGGAATGGATTTTGGCACATACGACCGAATGCAGTCTAGAAGCAAGAACTATTAATTTCGTTACAGCTCCCGTATATATGTTTCATACGATTTGGTGTTTAAGTCCATCACATTCGCAATACACACATCCAAAACGATGACATTGAGTACAGATACAGCTCAGAAATATCTCTGCAAATGTTATCGAGACCGATTTAGATTTGCATATAGCTTCCAGAAATATCTTCACGGTTATTGTTCACCAAATCTATTAAAAAATAAACGTTATTTCAATCAGACACATCATGACCTTATCAAATGAAATATTCCTGTTGCCAGAAGGCTGAGGATATGAGAGACCTTTTTATGTGGTCTTCAAAAATATAAGATTTTTATACCTCAACCATACGGCTACAGAGGGTATATATCATTTGATACGGTCAAAAAGTGTCTCATCGAAATAACGTCCTTAGGCCCTAAGTCTCATTGGACCAAATCCATTTCAGGATATTTGGAGTCGATCTAAAGGTGCCTTTTTTTCTGTCCGGCTGGTGCGCGCGATAACTCTCGATGGAGTATTCGATTTGGTACATCGTAATATTATCGTCAAACTTAGATCGAGTTCCGAAATGGGCAATATCGGTCCACTCCTTCTGGTACCTCCCACAATAGGTCGAAATTTAAAAAAATAATAACAATATTTTACCACACAGAAAGGGACAGGATACTCCGAATTTGCTCCAACTTTGCAAATTCTAATATTTGGAGCAGTTCTAGGTCAGGTGCTAAAATAGACAATATCGGTACTTCCCCACAAAGGGTCGAAATATGGAATAATTAAAACACTTATAAAATATGATGTAAGAGTCTGATTGCCTTTAAATGACGAGGTATTAAATTGCCTCGAAATATACATTTTAGACCCCACAAAGTATATATATTCTCGAACAGCATAAAATTCTATGCCGATTTAGCGACTTCCGCCTGTCCGTCTATCCGTCTGTGGAAATCACTCTAGCTTCCGAACGAAATGAAGTAGATTGATAAAATTTTACTCAAATGATTATTATCTGCTGGACTTTTGGTATTGAAAATGGGCCATGTATTTAGTATAGCCCCCATCTAACGGTAGCTCCCGATATTCGGTATTTTGATGATTTCATCGACATTATTCACCGGAATTGTTTCAAATTTAGTATTTGAAGTTCGTAATGGATACTGCAGCCCAAGGCAGAAAATTGTCTGTGCAGGTCCACATTTTGGTATAGCCCTCATATAATAGTACCTCCCCATATTGATGATTTTAGTTACATTTTTCACCGTTTTTTTTTCTTCAAATTTCGCATTTGAATATTGTAATGGCTTATGACAAAAGTTGCTTATGCAGGTCTACGTCGTCGTTTAGGCCATAATGGCTATATTTGGTATTTTTAAGATTTTAAGAGAATTTTTAAGGGATATTTCTTTCAAAATTGCTAAATTTGTTCCAAATGGTGGAGGGTATTCAAAGTTCGGCACGGCCGAACTTACAGCCTTTGTACTTGTTTTTTAATCGTACACACCATCCAGGCAAGCTTTATTTCAATTAAACTCCTCTCGGCCTTAACAAATGATGTATTCCTACAGTTATAGGCCCGGGGGTTTAAGGACACCTTTTTATGTGGCCTTCTAGAAAAAAGTTTTTTTTTTGGTGTATTCTAAAAGAAAATCTCCTTTTGAAAGAATTGTGTGTCCCTATTGAAATTTCGTTGACTGTACCACAACTACTGTTCATTTGATAAATGTACTTAAAACTGTATAAAAGTATATGTATGTAGTATATCCATGCATGTAGCTATATATGTTTGTGTATGGATGGATATATGTTTGCATGTCTCTTCTAAAGGATTTTTGTATCCGTTTTGTAAACACTTTAGCCGATGCTGTTGCTGCTGTTGCTGTGTTGTTGCTGCTGCTACTGCTGTTGGTTTAGTTTATTTTGATTGCTGTTGTTAATGCTGGTTGACAGCTGCAGCAGCAGCAGTTGTTGTTGCTACTGTTACTATTATTATTACTGTTGTTGTTGTTGCTGCTGTTGACATTTTTAGGAAATTGCACAGGAATTACGTTTGCTACCCAAACTGCGTTCCTGTATTCGCTGCAAATGCTGCAACTGGGCCGCTGTTGGGGCATGGGCTGCGGCTGCACCACCATAGGCGGATGACGACGAGGCAGATGAGTGCGCTGACTGATGATGCTGGTGATGATGTGACGATGGATGGTTGTGGTGTGTCGGTGTGCCGGGGCCATTATTGCCCACTTGTTGTGGTAGCGATTGGCGGCGTCGACGTAATGCTGGACTCAAATTGTACGTGATTTTCGCCTGTGATAATAGCTCTTTGAAGACCTTTGTTTTGCAAACCAATGCACAGCCACACGCACACACATGGACAATTGGATGAATGTTTGTTGGGAGGGAGAGGCAATATTGAAAAGAAGAGAAACCAACAGTTAGACATGTGTTTGTTTACATATTTTATTAAATAACAGTAATCGCTATTATGTTGTCAGTTTAATGTCATTGGTGTTGGTGTTGTTGTTGTTTTCGTTTGTGTCATGAGCTCTACTTACTTGAGTGATATTTTCATTTCTTGCCGCCGACACTTCAGCGAAACCATTTTCCCAGTCTACTGTTACAACCGATTCTGTGGTGGCATATTCAACCTGCAACCAAACAAAACGAAGAAAAAAAAGATAGACGTTGAGTAGGAAGAAATTGATTTATGATGTTCTGTTATTCGACATGATAAAGCTATTATAGTCGAACACATTATAGGAAATTGAATATTCAGATTTTGTTTTTTATGATACATGTTGTCAGGCGGCTTTATGTACGTACGTTAATCCATACAATTTATATGGGAGGTGTGGTTTTTATACCCTCAGCCATATGGCTAAAGAGGGTATATATCATTTGATACGCCCAAAACGTGCCTAGTCGAAATAACGGTTTTAGACCCTAGGTCTCTTTGGACCAAATCCGTTTCAGAACATTTGGAGTCGATCTAGCGATGTCCGTCCGTCCGTCCGTCTGTCTGGCTGGCTGGCTGGTGCGCACGATAACTCTCGAAGGGAGTACCCGATTTGGTCCAAATTGGGTACATCGTAATATTTTTGTCAAACTTAGATCGAGTTCGGAGATGGGCAATATTGGTCCACTCCTTCTGGTACCTCCCCCACAAAAGGTCGAAATTTTCAAAAATATATATATTTTGCACAGAATGAGAATGGATAATCCGAATTTGCCCCAACTATGCAAATCCTAATATTTGCGTCAGTGCTAGGTCAGGTGGGAAAATGGACAATATCGATCCACTCCATCAAGTACCTCCCCCACAAATGGTCAAAATTTTGAATAATTACAACTCTCATAAAATCTGATGTAAGAGTCCGATTGTCTTTAAATTTCACACATCCCAATATTTATATTAACTCAAGGTCTGGTGTTAAGACGAACAATATCGGTCCACTCCTTCTGGTACCTCCCCCACAAAAGGTCGAAATTTTCAAAAAATATATATTTTGCACAGAATGAGAATGGATAATCCGAATTTGCTCCAACTATGCAAATCCTAATATTTGCGTCAGTGCTAGGCCAGGTGTGAAAATGGACAATATCGATCCACTCCATCAAGTACCTCCCCCTCAAATGGTCAAAATTTTGAATAATTACAACTCTCATAAAATGTTATGTAAGAGTCCGATTGTCTTCAAATTGCACACATCCCAATATTTATATTAACCCAAGGTCTGGTGTTAAGATGAATAATATCGGTCCACTCCTTCTGGTACCTCCCCCACAAAAGGTCGAAATGTTCAAAAAATATATATTTTGCACAGAAAGTGAATCGATAATCCGATTCTGCTCCAACTTTGCATATCCTAAAATTTGCGTCAGTACTAGGTCAGGTGTGAAAATGGACAATATCGGTCTACTCCATCAAGTACCTCCCCCACAAATGGTCAAAATTTTGAATAATTACAATCTCATTAAATGTGATGTAAAAGTCCGATTGTCTTCAAATTTCACACATCCTACTATTTGTTACATGGTTGAAATTTTGAATACCGATGAAGCTCATAAAAGGCCAAATTAACATCCGATTCCATTTAGACTTGGCACATCTGTCGCAATATTTATATCATATTTTTGGGTCCGATAGGAAATGGGCATCGGACCCAATCCTTCAGGACCTGCTCCATAGAGGGTCAAACGTTTGAATAATCTTAACACTAACAAAATATATTTAAATAATCGAACATAGGCTGAGGGTATATATCTGGCGGCAATACCGACTGATACTTTTTAACTTGTTCTTAATGGAATAAGTATTTGTGGATATTAAAGTCAAGTGTATTGAAGTCGGTATAGGTGGATAAAAAGTGGCAGGCTATAAAGGGGATTTACAACAAAAACGGATCGGGGTAATTCCCTGAAATAATTAAACAAATTTATATACCCTACAGGACATAGTGGTAAGGGTATTATGTCTTTGTGCATTTGTTTGTAATATGGAGAAGGAAGCGAGATTGACCTAAAGTTAATTTTGAGGATCTTCATAGAAACACTTTCTGAGTCGATTTATGCATGTCAGTCCGTCTGTCAGTCAGGTCGCATTTATTATCCGATTGAGATGAAATTTTCTAAACAATATTTGAAACCTATTGAAGCTCCCTGCTCCCATATATTTTCAACCGATTTCGGGTTAATTGTGCACCAAATGGCCAATATAAGTCCAAATGACCTGAATTTTGACACATCCGACCGAATTCATTAGTCGGGAAGAAAGTACATCATATTTGGAGAAAATACCTTCAGATATAGCTATAGCTCCCATATATATGTTTCATCCAATTTGGGGTTTTACGTCCCTCACATGCGTAATATGCTTTTCGCAAGAATTATATTTGGTACTGAACATCAGATACTGCTCGAAATTATATCAAGATCGGTTTAGATTTGGATATAGCGATATCACGTTATTTGTGCACCAAATGGCTAATATCAGCCCAAATAAATTGAATTTTGGCAATTCCGACGGAATTCATTCTGTAAACTTGAACTTTTTTTTAGCTATAGCTCCCATATATATTTCATCTGATTTGGGGTTTAAAGTCCCTCACAGATCATTCCACTGATCTGCTACAGCTCTAATCTGTCTATCTGTCTAGATCGGTTCAGATTTGGATATAGGTCCCATATATATCTTCAACCGATTTCGGGTTCATTTTGAAAATAATGACTAATATCAGCCCAAATTGTGAATGAATTTCCGGACGTACGTTACCATTTTGTGAAACTCGGTTCCGATATATATTTTTTAATATAATCCTTCTCGTAGTGATATTATGTGCTCTATAGCTGTATTTTTATTAGTTCCCTCTGAATCCAAATTATAAATTGCTCTAAAGCCAAAGGTCGATAGGTGGAGCTCCACTAAATATGCATAGTGGTGTAGGGTATCATAATTATAGTACGCATTTCCAAACCCACCTACCTATCTTAAGCACGGACACCAACAATGAATTGGATATAGATTATCGAATTTCAGGATTTCAGCTGTATTCCATTACTCACTTTTCGTAAAATTATGGTACACATTTCCAAAATCACCTCCATATCTCAATTCCAGATACCAACAGAGACTTCTATATGAAATTTTGGGATTCTAACTCTATCCCTTCACACACAACCAAATTTAGTACCCCATAATACTTTTCGTACTCATGGATTATATCATATCGAGCGGTTTCAACTAAACGGCCTCCACGACGACTTAACGAACAATCTCGGCCTGGCAAATAAACAAAGAGTGACCCGAGTCAGTTGGAACTTTAGGAGGAGGAATGTTTGAGAAACCAAGTTGGGATGATCTCTGACCTAAGGGGTCCTGTATCGGCAGTAGCCGATAAATCGAAGATGAAAATAAGTCGAAAGGTGAATCATCATCCAACGCAACCAATGGCATTGACGCTAAGCAAGTTTGATATACAAAAATCTTTAAGACTTTACCCTGGTTTAACCAAATGCGAACATTTGGCAGACAAATATCCGGAAAATAGGGCTGCTCGCACCACAGTATAAAGCAAATCCGGAAACTCAGGAGAGTAAACCGGCTGCGTGTACGCCTTAGGGGTCGGGATTGCTAAATAGTATATGACTGCTTTTAATCCGACGATCAAAAGAGGAAAAAAAAAACGCACGAGATGACGGCTCCAATAACATCAAAAGACAACTTTCGACTAGCAAATCATGTGAAACCTTGAAACCAACTGTTATTTCAGGATTCTTCTCTCAAAGCTTTATACCAACCTTTATATCAAATTTCGGGATTCCAGATGTATGCCTCCCCATTTAGTACCTCTAAGTACTTTTCGAACAATTATAGTACGCATTTCCAAACCCACCTACATATGTTTCCCGCAGACACCAACAGTGACATCTATATCGAATTTCAGGATTTCAGCTGTGTTCCATTACTCACTTTTCCTTAAATTATAGTACACATTTCCAAAATCACCTCCATATCGCAATTCCAGATACCAACAGAGACCTGAATATCGAATTTGAGGATTCCAGCCTATCCCTAAGTATTACCAAAATTAGTACTATTTAGTACTTTTCGAACAATTTTAGTACACATTTCCGAAACGACCTCCATATGTCCAGGCTACACATAAATACCTTAATACCAATTTCCAGATTTCAAGCACTATCTGTTTCCCCAATGCCAAATTGTTCCGAATATAGAACTATATAGTACTTTTTGTGCAATTATTGTACATATTTCCAAAACACAACATTCATATCTCAATGCTAGATACCAACAGAGACCTCAATATCAAATTTCAGCATTTCTTACCTATTTCTTCAGTATTACCAAAATTTAATCCCATTTAGTACTTTTCGTACATATATGGAGCGCATTTCCAAAACCACCGCCAAATCTCAAACACAGATACAATCAGTAATCTAAATATAAAATTTCAGAATGTTATCTCTACTTCCTCGCCCAGTACTTCCTCACCCAATACAGTATCATTCAGTATATTTCGTACAATTTTGCTACACATTTCAGAATAGGCACATAATAAGAAATTTTAGATTTCAAGCACTATCTATCACCCAATACAAAATCATACCGAATATAGCAATATTTAGTACTTTTCGTATAACACATACACATTTCCAAAACTACCTGTATATCTCAATTCCTGATACCTGATACCTCAATATAAATTTTCATGATTTCAGCTCTATCCCTTTATCCAATCTACCCAATTTAGTACCATTTAGTACTTTTCGTACAACTGTAGTACCCAATTCCTCCCATTCCAAATTAAATCAGAATTCTGTCTCATTCCGTTTGTCCAAACAAAGTATTAAATTTGTAGTACATTTTTGTACTTTTCGCACCATTTTAGTATCTTTTCAGACGACTACGCACTAAGACTCGTGCAAAATTTCAAGATTCTAGCTTCAGCTGTTTCATTCAGGCGTTAATTCTAGATCAGTCGTATCGGGAAAAAAACGCAGTCATCTACGAGAACTCCTTCATCGGGCCTATTTGAAAGGATCAAAATATTCTAACAAAAGTAAGTAGTTCTGGTAAAGTAAAATGCATTCATCTACTATTTATTTCTTAAACTTATATTATTTATTT